TACCTTGAGATCATCGTCGTGGCACCATGCCTGGACCACGGCGTGCAAGTACTGCCTTTCCACGAGAGGAGGTTGGAGGATGTCCACGTAGGATGCGTTTCCACCCATGTTCGAGGCGTGCTCTTCGACAATTGTGGAAACCACGTAGAGATGACCTCGGAAAACTTCTTCACGGACAAGATGGCGTCGATCAGTTCATCGTCCCAGTCGCACCCTAAGCCCCCGTCGATCCTAATCGCAAGCATCCCCTCGACGAGTGGCCTCTCAAGCGGCAGCATCACTGAACTTCATCCCGCGCCATCGCTTCCTCCCACAATCCACTTTGGTCTCTTGAACAACGACAGACTTACCGCCGATTGTCTCACGCACAACCTCCACCACGCCTGCCATCTCTCTCTCTCTCTCTCTCTCTCTCTCTCTCTCTCTCTCTCTCTCTCTCTCTCTCTCTCTCTCTCTCTCTTTATGTGGCCGTCTCGCTCACTTTGTTGAGACTGACAATGAACTGTGCAGTTCGCAACGCAGTACCCCCACCACAGGTGACGCGCAGGACGACGATGAAGTCCTTCCAACAGTGCCAAACAAGAGAGAGCACAAGCATATATAGTTCCTCACTGTTTCCTGTCTCTGCAGTGGAGTCTTTTTTTTTTTTTTTCCTCCCCTTTTTTCGAATTTTCTTCTGTTATTTTCACAATCTTTTCATTTTTCAAAAAAAATATTGGTCTATTGTGGTCCTCGAGAGTCGAAACCAATCGACTACTGAAACGATGCAACAAAAAAAAATAACGACATATGGCCACTTCAGCGGCATAGGTGCTCACGGCCTCACGTCATCCACTATCGAATCCGGACCCCCCCCCCATACAAACCCCTTCCTAGCCTACAGAACATGAAATGTGACCACACACCTGGCTAGCATCCTCCATTAACGCCATTCGGAATGAGGACGACGTCGGCTAGTCAATTCGACAACATGTCGTTGTCTGCCCCCCTAGTTGGTGAGGGCATTGAGAATGATGACCTCACTGCCATGAATGCTACGAGCCTCTGCGGAACATTCTCCTCGTGCATGGCACCAACAACAACTCTGATTTGTATAGCAACGTCACCTATCTTCGTGGGCATCATTGCCACTCCCTCGCATGTCACATGCTGCAGTCCCTTACGCCTTGTCAAGGCCTTCGTAAAGAGTCTTCGTTGAATCCTCCATGGCCATTTTTGTACGAGATGAAGAAGCGTCTGCCTCACCTCGCACCCTCCCGGACGATCTCCTTCGCCACTTCGCACTGGTGTCAAACGGATCGACGCGATTGTGCCGCCGCCATCCGATGTGGTCCTGCCCGCCTGCCCTGATCCGCTCCCCCTACCACCTTGCCCCGATCCACTCCCTCCACCACCTTGCCCCAATCAGCCACCTCCCAACTCCTCGGAGGCGAGAGTGGTGTCGCACGTATAGGACTTCTTTAATCGCCACCACTCCATCGCATCCCAAAGACGCTGCTCGAATGTTGTGCACACGTCCTTCTCCCTCCGCTGCTCTGTGGTCATGTTGAAGTAGCCCGACTCCCCGTACCTGTAGCACTTGTCCATGATTTGGCTGACGATGTCCTTCATTTTTGCCCACTTTTCCGACAGTCCTCCGCCGTCTTGTTGTACCCCTCCTCTTTCAACTGATCCGCTAGCCGTTCGTACCTCCTCGCCCTCACCTTTAGCATCAGCCATAAGAGCATCATATTCCGCGCTTATCATGGTCAATGCTATTCACTTCAACAATGTCCAGGGGTTGTTCTTCTTTCCCCCCTCTGGCCGAGGTGGCCTCTTTGGACGTAGCGTTCTTCCCTCCATGGCCATGTTCTTCGTCAAAGCCGCGACACCGCCCCACATACCTGAACCTTCGCCCGCAGCATCATCCGCAATCCTTTTCCCCGTTGCATCGTGGGTAACTCGTCCTGAAAGACCGGCTGTTGAAGTATTTTCGGCTTTGACCCCGAACTGCACCGGCGTTGTTTCGCCACACCCTCCCTCCCCCGCAAACCCACTTCTTCCTCCACCGCCAGGTGTCCCGAAGCTAGGAAACCTGCTCCCCCACCCCGGCGACTGGCCCCCTTGAAGTCTTGTGGGTGAACCTTGTAATTGTTTTCCCCCACCGACGGTGGGTAACCACCTGTCGGAACTTGTGATTGCCTATCAGGCAGATCAGCCATCACCACGCTCTCTCCCTTGTTCCATGTAGCGATGAACGACGTGGCCCGGAGGGAGAGCTTGACATGTATTATTCGTAGGCCAATTGCAGAACATTCTGTGAATTCCCTGCAATCCATGCATGGGACGGATCGTCGACGACGTCTATTCCTTCCGATGCAGTGGACGGTAATCCCGCAGCGGGTAAACACCGATGGAATGCTTGTGCGTCAGTCCTGCCTGACGACCATGCGCATTGGAACATCCACCATAACCGCCTCTCGTTCCCCCTCCTAAGTGTCCTCCCCGAGTCAAAAGTGGAGGTGATCTATACGCCCATTGTTGATTGCCTCCAAACCCTTCCTTGTCGAACGACGTCTGTGGCCATTGTCGTGCAAGGCCACGCTGCACAGCCCCGCTTCGGTCCATCTGAGTGGCGGCAATGTACTCAATCGCAGTATTCGACATCCATGGTGCCCTCATACTCGCCCATGAGTTTGGACGTGAATCAGTGTCCGTCCATGCCGCACCCTGGAAAGCTCCTCTCTAGACGACCTGCTACGTCCCCTTCCCTTCTCAAAGTCAGGACCCTAAATTAACAATATAATGGCGACCAATAACACTATGAGGCAGACGATGGCTGTGGCAACCAAACAG